CCTCAGGCACCTCCCTCTCAGCCCCTGTGGGCCGCCGTTCCCAGCCTGCGGGTGTCCAGGGCAGCATGTGGGGAGAGGCGCCCAGGGGCCGCCGCGGGGGGAGGCGTGACTACTTCCGGGAGCAGTGCAGAGTGAGGGCAGCCAGGGAACCTGCCTTAGCCTCAGGGTCGGGGGGACCTGGGCAATTGCCCTCCCCTGTGGGGGGGCCTGCTCCGAGGTGGCCCCACAGTCTCTGGGAGGCAGCAGGTCTCTCGCAGTGCACAGGCTGCCCTGGCCCTCTGCTCAGAGGAGGATTGGCTGGGGGGCAAGCCAGGCTAGTGAGTGGGTGTGAGTGGGCCTCCGTCCTCCCAGTGGGCCACAAGATTGAAATCCGGTGGAGGGCAACGTGTGGCCTACGGTTTCCACCTGCAGCCGGACACCCCTTTCCCCCACCTCTCACTGGGGCACCAGAGCCCTGCGTGTCCCTCCCCCCCACCCCAGCATTTACCCAGTCCCATGAATCTGCTGATTTGTGCTCCCTCCCCGCACGTGAATAGCTGCAAACAGCTGATTCCAGCCGGAGCATGAATGCATCATTCACGGCACTCTGAGTGCTGCGGGGGGGGAGGGGCTCCAGAGCGTGAGACGCTTGTGGGGGAAGGGCCAGAGAGGGGGTCCAAGGGCTGCAGGTTGCCCACCCCGGGGCTAGGCCACGAGAGCAGAGCCATTGTCCTCATTCCAAATCCGGGGCCCTGCTCTCAGCTCCTCCTCCCTTCCTGTGCGAACACCTCGCCAGGGCACTACAAGGCCAGAGACCCCCGTGTCTTTCGAGGAAGGGGCTGTCCTGGCAGCCGGGTTGTGCAGCAGCCTGCCGGGGAGCATGGTCTAGGGCAGGTCTAGGGCTAGCCAGAGCAGGCTCTGCAGCCGGCTGGAGGGCCCTGCCCCACAGCGTACAGGGCAGGGCCCCTCCAGACTGGGATTCCTGCCCTGTTCCTGGGTGCGGCTAGATCCCAGCAGGCCAGGCTGCAGCCTGGGGCTGGTACCTGGAGAGGAGCAGCCTGGCCGGGTGTTCCCTGGAGAACAAAGGGGATGGGCCATGTGGTCCTGTCGGTGCCACAGTGCCCCCCTGCCTGTCTCTTTGCAGTTCTGGGAGGTGATCAGCGATGAGCACGGGATAGACCCCAGCGGGAACTACGTGGGAGACTCCGACCTGC